TCTTCCCACAGGGAGTACTCATATGTGCGTCCTCTTGGTGGGTGGGCCTTAACCCCTTCATGCCTAAGGGTAAAACAAATCTAAATGCCTAAGCTCAATTCTGCAACGTTGACATGTGTTAGTAAAACCGTACATATCATCACAACTACTTTGTACATCCAGGTGAATTATACCTTGTTTTTTTTCAGGACAAATTGGGCTTTCATTTGGTGGTAAATGGTAATGGATAGCTCCTAATTTTTTTTTTATTTATTAAAGGAAAACTGGGCCAAAATAGTAAAAAAAAAATCGTTTTTTTTTTTTTTTTTACTGTGTTTCTTGTTACGACCATAACCTACCACCAAAGAACAACCCAAAGTAAATTTTCCAGTTCTTGACGATCGCAGCGATACCATATATATGTGTATGTTATTTGTTGTTTGTACCCGTAGTACAGCCCAGAAACAATAGTGCGCATTTTGTTTTTGTGTTTTGTTTTTTTGTTTTTTTTTTACACAAAACACACTGTCACTGACACTGACATTAACACTAACTGACACTGATACTAATTATTTTTTAATCCTGACCTTTGACCCTGACCTTGACTCAAACACTAACCCTGGTACTGAACTAGATCAAACTTTGATCTAGGTATTTTTCTTTATTTTTTATTTTATTTTTTAATATTTATTTATCTTTTTTTTTTTTTTTTTTACAAACTTTTTTTTTTTATCTCTCTGTCAGGAGTTCGAGAGATACAATGTATCTCTCTTCTCCATTCATAGAGAGAGAGAAAACAAGGGGGCCGGGCTGCACAGTGACTGATCACTGTGATAGCCAATCAGAGGCTATCACAGCGATCACGTGACCCGGATCCGGGAGTCCCGCGTCCCGATCGTTAGAACAGGACGCGGGGCTCTCAGTGACACCGCGGTCTCGGTGCTGGGAGCGCGCCGAACGGCGCGCTCCCAGCACAAAGACAGGTACGCAAATATGCGGCCCCACGGAAAAAAGCCCAGGTCCTTGAGGCCGCATATTTGTGTTACGTCGGCGTCAAGGGGTTAATGTCGAAGAGGCCATATATAAGCTTACTTGAATGCAAACAGTGCTTTTCCAAGAGCGGTCACCCTTCGCACTCCCAGCAGTTACCAGTGGCTAACGGGAAAACTCCCGCTCTATAATTGCAAATCGGGAGCTTTCTGATCAAATGACTGCTGTGACAGCCAATCACGGCGGTTGCAGGATTAGAAATCCCACCCCGCCTCCCAGCATCAGAGTCCTCTTAAAGGGCCGGGTTCAGGAGTTAAAGATTGTTGGTGTCATGCTACTGGCCCTGCCAAGTGCTGATAGACCTGGATCTATGAAGGCACAGTCAGATGGAAAGTCATTCATCCACAGTTAAAATAACCCCTAGCAATCTCTGAAAGAACCCTGGGGTTCCACAGAACACTGGTTGAGAATGCTTGGTCCATGGGCATAGCATCAGAGGTCACAGATGTCACAATTGTGACCCTGTCCATGCTCCAGGGGGCCCCTGTAGCTTGCTTTTCACATGTCACTGTGTAACCACAGAGCAGAGTGTGCCTGTGTGAGGACCACGGAGTCACCTGGGAAGCATGTAAGAACAGGACAGGGCAGAGTGGAGAAGGCAGGTTACATGCTAAGGGGAATGATAACTGCACAGTAGTGAGTAGACTCTCATCCCCAACTTCTCCCCGTTCCCTTCCAACCCCGTGTCTTTCCTGTCTCTGTCAGTCTGTGAGCGGGTTCCACCCCCCTCCTGCAATGTTTTCTCCTCTCACCTCCACTGAATCCACTGATCTCTCCTCACCTCCCTCTTCTTTTGTCCCTCCCTTCCCGATCTGCTTTCAGTCATGGCGAGGGCCCATGCTCTCCAGATTGAGATGGAATAAGTGACAATAAAATAAAGTGAATAAAGAGTAAAGGGTGAATCATGCTATGAGGCATCTATTGGGCTTTAAAAATTCTTCTGCAAAGGTAGTGTGGGTCCGAGCAGCTCCTGGGCACTTTACCTGCCATCCAGACAACTTACCTAGCCATCAGACACAACACCTGAGCTTCCAGCATCTTACCCAGTTCCTGGACTCTTTACCTGACCCCAGGCACATTACCTAGCCCTGGGCTCCTTACCTGCATTCTGGGCATATTACCTGGCCCAATACTTAATATTTAGGCCCCTGACAACTGTATCTGACATCATGCACTTCATTTCAGGCTCTTCAAATGCCCCCTGGGCTACTTTTTCCTAGCCCCTGGAAACCTTACTTAGCTTCGCAGGCACCTTACCTAGCTCTTGAGCACTTTAACTAGCCCTCAAGCTGCTTACCTTGGCCCCTGGGCACACTACCTGGCCCTGGACTCCTTTCCTGTCTCTAAGCACCTTACCTAGCCACTGGGCACCTTAAAGCAGCATTATACCCTAAAACAGGAAGAAAGTATAATGCAGATTACCAGTCCCTTGTGGTGGCTGCATTCCTTTTTATTTTTAGACTTTTGCCATTACTTACATGGTGATCCAGCCAGTAACACATTTCTTGCCTTAGGGTGGCTCCACTCTGGATGGAGGAGTAATAGAGACATCTTTGGACAGCAACACTGTAAGTCTTGGGAGATGGTAATATTAGATATACTAGCAGATTTTGGATGTAACTAACAAATGAAAGCTAAACTCCCACTAAGGGGTTCATTTACTAAAGGCAGACTGTGCAATTTGCAAAGTGCAGTTGCACTCTGCAAGAGCGGTTGCTCCAGAGCTTAGTAAATGAGGTAAAGCTTTCACTTTGCAAAGAATACCCAACCACATGCAAGGGGAAAAAAAACATTTTTTGCTTGCACATGATTGGATAATGGAAGTCAGCAGAGCTTTTGCTCATTTACTAAGCTTTGGAGCGACTGCTCTTGCAGAGTGCAACTGCACTTTGCAAAGTGCACATTCTATTTGCCTTTAGTAAATCAACCACCAACTCTTTATAAGCAGTTACAGCAGTATTTTTTTCTTGCAGGATAAAGTACCCCTTGTCAGTGGTAAATATTTTTTCTCAACCCTCTAACTGCTGCATCTGCAGGAAACCTTGGTCTGTTAAGGGAATCAAAAAAAAAAAAAAGGCATACTTGCAGGACCACCAGGTGAAACCGAAGGCAGAACAAGTCTAAAAAGAAAATTAATGTAGCCATTGGTAAGAAACAGTAAGCTCATAGGCATGGCCAGCATGGGGGGGGGGGTGATTCCTGGGACTTGTAGTGTGCAGTGTGACATGAAGGAAGCCCAACACTGGTGTAGCATCTGGGGTTGCATTGGCGACCTTGCCAATGCTGCCTCCCATTTTACATAAAGACAGAAGGGGTGGCATATAGAAGAACCAAAGCCCTCCATCTTCCTCCTCCAACACCTGAAAGCCAGCTTTTCCTTCTCTCATTCAGCAGCTGCAGAAGGAAAATGGAGAGGATCAGATCCTGTATATGCCACCACCTCTGCCCCTCCTGTCCTGGTTACTGTTATTTATGCTGCTCCTCCCCACCTTTGCCGGCTGCTGCAGACAATTATTTCTGGATGGAGAGTGGGGAAGGAGCCGCTAAATATGGCATATATAACAGCCCCTTCCTTTCCTGAATGAACACAGTGGGTGATCGATACCGATCACTCCTGTGTCCATTCATAACTGAGGTATAGCAAACTGTTTCCTATGCTTCAGTTTGCTAATGAGCGGGAAACCTCAAAGCACTTCCTGTTCATTCAACTGTGCAGCTGAGTCTACAGCAATGGAAGATGAGGACTGTGTCTTCAATCTCCTTTCTCTGTCTCAAAAGTGAGTCCCCTGATATTTCACCAAAGCCCCAGAGCAGGGCTGATAAACAAATTGTAAAAATAACAAAAAATACAATTGTGAAAATAAAATTAAAAATAGTAGATATAATAAAAAAATAAAATAACAAAAAAAAAACTACTGACACCATCCACTGCCCTGCTAACACCATCCACTATGCTACTGACACCATCCACTGCTCTATTGGCACCATCCACTGCCCTACTGATACCATCCACTGCCCTACTGATACCATCCACTGCCCTACTGATACCATCCACTGCTCTACTATCAAAGTCAACAGTCATAATGACATCATCCACTGCCCTACTGACTGACATAGCCCCTTTCTAAGGTAGGCTATGTTTATATTTTACAGTAATATTATATTTTTCTAAGTTTTACTTACTATTTAGTGAGGCCTTGCTAGTTAATTTCTTTAAAAAAAAAAAAAAAAAAAAAAACAACGGCGATCTTTGATCTCTTTCATGTTGTTCAGGCAGATCTCCACTTCTCAAAGGTTGCCCACTCCTGCTCCAGGGTAGCCAAAAGCATTGGAGAGATATGTCAAAATTTGGGGTTTCTCTAAAATCTTTTAAATTATCCTCTCATTATGTAAATAAAGATCTAAAATAACTCTTTAGTCACTTGGTGTATCTTGGCTCGTAATAGAAGCTGCAAGTGGTAGTAGGGGGGGCCCCAAGTCAACTTTTGCATCTGGCCCACAAGCTTCAAGCTATGCCTCTGGGTCGGTCTAGACCACGGTTGTCAAACTGGCGGCCCTCCAGCTGTTGCCAAACTACAATTCCCATGAGGCATTGCAAGATTGACAGTTACAAGCATGACTCCCAAAGGCAGAGGCATGATGGGACTTGTAGTTTTGCAACAGCTGGAGGACCGCCAGTTTGAACCCCCGGGCTACACATTTAGTAGTAATTGGGGATTCTATGATCAGTTGTGAACTTGTATGCCTATCATAAGTAGAGATGAGCGAATCGAACTTGGCGAAGTGGAATTCGCTTCGAATATTAGAAAAATTTTGAATCAAAATCGAAATTTTTTCCTAAAATGGCGGCGACATGTGCAGCGACTGTGTAATGGTCGAGCTATAAATGGCGGCCATTTTAGAATTCTCCATTTGCCTCCAGTCATTCAACAGAGGCAGACCTGGCTGTATTCAGGGAGAGAGTTAGGGACACAGAAACGAAACGTTACTTAGGGACACAGAAACGTTAGTTAGGGACACAGAAACGTTACTTAGGGCCACAGAAACGTTACTTAGGGACACAGAAACGTTACTTAGGGCCACAGAAAAACGTTACTTAGGGACACAGAAACGTTACTTAGGGCCACAGAAACGTTACTTAGGGCCACAGAAACGTTACTTAGGGCCACAGAAACGTTACTTAGGGCCACAGAAACGTTACTTAGGGCCACAGAATTGTTACTTAGGGCCACAGACACAGAATTGTTACTTAGGGACACACAGAATTGTTACTGAGGGCCACAGAAATTGTTACTTAGGGCCACAGAAATGTTACTTAGGGCCACAGAAACGTTACTTAGGGCCACAGAAATTGTTACTTAGGGCAGACACAGAATTGTTACTTAGGGACACAGGGACACAGAATCGTTACTTAGGGCCACAGAAACGTTACTTAGGGCCACAGAAACGTTACTTAGGGCCACAGAATTGTTACTTAGGGACACAGAATTGTTACTTAGGGACAGACACAGAATTGTTACTGAGGGACACAGAATTGTTACTGAGGGCCACAGAAACGTTACTTAGGGCCACAGAAACGTTACTTAGGGACACAGAGAATTGTTACTTAGGGACAGACACAGAATTGTTACTGAGGGACACAGAATTGTTACTGAGGGCCACAGAACTGTTACTTAGGGCCACAGAAACGTTACTTAGGGCCACAGAAACGTTACTTAGGGCAGACACAGAATTGTTACTTAGGGCCACAGAAACGTTACTTAGGGCCACAGGAATCGTTTACTTAGGGCCACAGAATGTTACTTAGGGCCACAGAAACGTTACTTAGGGCCACAGAATTGTTACTTAGGGACAGACACAGAATTGTTACTGAGGGACACAGAATTGTTACTGAGGGCCACAGAACCATTACTTAGGGCCACAGAAACGTTACTTAGGGACACAGAATTGTTACTTAGGGACAGACACAGAATTGTTACTGAGGGACACACAGAATTGTTACTGAGGGCCACAGAATTGTTACTTAGGGCCACAGAACACTTAGGGCCACAGAAACGTTACTTAGGGACAGACACAGAATTGTTACTCAGGGACAGACACAGAATTGTTACTGAGGGACACAGAATTGTTACTGAGGGCCACAGAAACGTTACTTAGGGCCACAGAAACGTTACTTAGGGCCACAGAATTGTTACTTAGGGACAGACACAGAATTGTTACTGAGGGACACAGAATTTTTTACTGAGGGCCACAGAAATTGTTACTTAGGGCCACAGAAACGTTACTTAGGGACACAGAATTGTTACTCAGGGACAGACACAGAATTGTTACTGAGGGACACACAGAATTGTTACTGAGGGCCACAGAAACGTTACTTAGGGCCACAGAAACGTTACTTAGGGCCACAGAAACGTTACTTAGGGCAGAACAGAATTACTTACTTAGGGGACACAGAATTGTTACTGAGGGCCACAGAAACTTTACTTAGGGCCACAGAAACGTTACTTAGGGGACACAGAATTGTTACTTAGGGACAGACACAGAATTGTTACTGAGGGACACAGAATTTGTTACTGAGGGCCACAGAACCGTTACTTAGGGCCACAGAAACGTTACTTAGGGACACAGAATTGTTACTTAGGGACAGACACAGAATTGTTACTTAGGGACACAGAAATTGTTACTCAGGGACAGACACAGAATTGTTACTGAGGGACACAGAATTGTTACTGAGGGACACAGAATTTTTTACTCAGGGACAGACACAGAATTGTTACGGGGACAGACACAGAATTGTTACTTAGGGACACAGAATTGTTACTTAGGGACACAGAAATTGTTACTTAGGGGACACAGAATTGTTACTCAGGGACACACACAGAATTGTTACTGAGGGACACAGAATTGTTACTTAGGGACACAGAATTGTTACTGAGGGACACACAGAATTGTTACTCAGGGACACAGAATTGTTACTCAGGGACACAGAATTGTTACTGAGGGACACAGAATTGTTACTGAGGGACACAGAATTGTTACTCAGGGACACAGAATTGTTACTGAGGGACACAGAATTGTTACTGAGGGACACAGAATTGTTACTGAGGGACACACAGAATTGTTACTGTTACTGAGGGACACAGAATTGTTACTCAGGGACACACAGAATTGTTACTCAGGGACAGACACAGAATTGTTACTGAGGGACACAGAATTGTTACTGAGGGACACAGAATTGTTACTGAGGGACACAGAATTGTTACTGAGGGGACACAGAATTGTTACTCAGGGGACACAGAATTGTTACTGAGGGACACAGAATTGTTACTCAGGGACAGACACAGAATTGTTACTCAGGGGACACAGAATTGTTACTGAGGGACACAGAATTGTTACTGAGGGGACACAGAATTGTTACTGAGGGACACAGAATTGTTACTCAGGGACACAGAATTGTTACTCAGGGACAGACACAGAATTGTTACTGAGGGACAGACACAGAATTGTTACTGAGGGACACAGAATTGTTACTGGGACACAGAATTGTTACTTAGGGACACAGAAATTGTTACTGAGGGACACAGAATTGTTACTGAGGGACACAGAATTGTTACTGAGGGACACAGAGAATTGTTACTGGGGGACACAGAATTGTTACTGAGGGACAGGACACAGAATTGTTACTCAGGGACACAGAATTGTTACTGAGGGACACAGAATTGTTACTGAGGGGACACAGAATTGTTACTGAGGGACACAGAATTGTTACTCAGAGGGACACAGAATTGTTACTCAGGACAGACACAGAATTGTTACTCAGGGACACACAGAATTGTTACTGAGGGACACAGAATTGTTACTGAGGGACACAGAATTGTTACTGAGGGACACAGAATTGTTACTCAGGGACAGACACAGAATTGTTACTCAGGGACAGACACAGAATTGTTACTGAGGGACACAGAATTGTTACTGAGGGACACAGAATTGTTACTCAGGGACACAGAATTGTTACTGAGGGACACAGAATTGTTACTGAGGGACACAGAATTGTTACTCAGGGACACAGAATTGTTACTCAGGACACACAGAATTGTTACTGAGGGACACAGAATTGTTACTGAGGGACACAGAATTGTTACTGAGGGACACAGAATTGTTACTCAGGGACAGACACAGAATTGTTACTCAGGGGACACAGAATTGTTACTGAGGGACACAGAATTGTTACTGAGGGACACAGAATTGTTACTGAGGGCCACAGAATTGTTACTTAGGGCCACAGAAATGTTACTTAGGGACACAGAATTGTTACTCAGGGACAGACACAGAATTGTTACTCAGGGACAGACACAGAATTGTTACTGAGGGACACAGAATTGTTACTGAGGGACACAGAATTGTTACTCAGGGACACAGAATTGTTACTGAGGGACACAGAATTGTTACTGAGGACACACAGAATTGTTACTCAGGGACAGACACAGAATTGTTACTCAGAGGACACAGAATTGTTACTCAGGGACACAGAATTGTTACTCAGGGACACAGAATTGTTACTCAGGGACAGACACAGAATTGTTACTCAGGGACAGACACAGAATTGTTACTGAGGGACACAGAATTGTTACTGAGGGACACAGAAATTGTTACTCAGGGACACAGAATTGTTACTGAGGGACACAGAATTGTTACTGAGGGACACAGAATTGTTACTCAGGGACAGACACAGAATTGTTACTCAGGGACAGACACAGAATTGTTACTGAGGGACACAGAATTGTTACTCAGCGACAGACACAGAATTGTTACTCAGGACACAGAATTGTTACTCAGGGACACACACAGAATTGTTACTGAGGGACACAGAATTGTTACTGAGGGACACAGAATTGTTACTGAGGGACACAGAATTGTTACTCAGGGACACAGAATTGTTACACAGAATTGTTACTCAGGGACAGACACAGAATTGTTACTCAGGGACACAGAATCGTTTAATTAAAGAGTATGTCAGACAACATGCAGAGGAGTGGCAGAGGAGGCAATGTTTTAGGAGTGAGCAGACGTGGCAGCAGAGGAAGGGGTCGAGGCAGCACTAGTCGCAGCCAGAGGCCAGTGCTCCCGGTGTCATCCAGCGGTCGTGTCTCCACCGACAACCCTGCCGTCATCGATTGGTTGGCTCGGTCGTCGTCTTCCTCTTCCCAGGTCACCTCTGACACCTACAGCCAACGGTCGGTGGGTACGTCAGACACAACCGTTAGTTGGCATGGCCCGGGAGCAAGCCCACTGAAATCACGTGTCCTCGACCTGCCCCTGTCCTTTGGTGTTCCCTCACCAAGCGAAGTATCGTATGCTGTGGGCTCAGCCCCACTGTACAGTGAGGAAGAGCTAACAGAGGGCGGTCAGGAACGGGGGGAGACATCCGCCTCTTCAGCAGCCAGGCGAAGAAGTAGTGGCGAGGAGTGTGCTCGGTAGCCGGTCTAGAGACAGGTCTGTCTCCTGACCCACACGCAGCCGAGGGGGCTAGTAGTGAGGCGGAGACCCTAATTGATGATGATGAGGCTGATCGCACTTGGCAGCCTCGTCGTCATCAGGCTATTGCTTCCGCATCATCAGGAGAAGAGGGTGGCAGCTTGGCAGCGAGCAAAACAGTCGGTGGGTTTGCCCAGGAGGCAGCAGGGTCGCAGCAGTGTCAGTGGAGGCAAACGGCCACGGAGTACAGCACCAGCTCCACTGCAGCCTACCACCACGGCCAGTAGTGGTGCCGGTGTGCACGGAGGAAGCAGCAGTCAGCCAGTGAGGAGTATCGGGGGCAAAGTTTCCTACTCGGCGGTGTGGCAATTTTTTTGGTCAAGCCGCCCGAGGAAGTAAACGTAGCCGTATGTCGACTATGTGGCCAGAAAGTCAAGCGTGGCCAGGGGGCCCATGTTGGGACTACAGCGTTGCGGCAGCAGCATATGCAGCGTCGCCATTTGGTGGCCTGGGAAAACCGTGATAAAGATACGGCGGTTTGCTGCCTGCCCCAGCCCTTTCAGGGTTCCATTTTGTCATAGGGTGCTGGCAGATTACGGGCCTCCCATAGCTGCTGCCAGGCCCCTAATCTGCCATGGGCCCCTGTACCGCCTCCTCATGGTGCTGCCAGGTCCACAGTGTCTCATGCCATGTGCCACTTTCAGGTTTCAGGTCTCCTCACACACTGCTGGTGTGTTCCATTTTTTGTCATAGGGTGCTGGCAGATTACGGGCCTCCCATAGCTGCTGCCAGG